TATTGAATATAATATATATTGTAGGGTTCTTGATTCCCTGATGACCCCGGCAACTTTTTCCCGTCCGGAAAATTGGCCATTCCAATTCCCCAATTTTCCCAGTCGGGAACATCAGACCTGATACTGTCGACTCTGGCGGCACCACTGGGTATACAGTAATAGCATTGAGAAGAGTGTTGCTTTCATTTCAGGTGGGAGAAAGGCGCTTATTAAACAACCATTAAATTAAACATTTGGTATAATTTAGCATAATTTCCCATCAGCCATTGGCATAATCACTGAGATTCAATATTTCAAACTACATTTGTTCAACGGCATAATTCATACTAATTTAGCTTGGTACAATCGGACAAGAAAAGCCATGGTTATGCGCTGCATGGTTTGTGCACACCTGTAACACAAATGTTTCTTGAATAGTGTTTTATACAATAAACTATAGTGATGCTTTAATACATGATAGGACTACACTACGGAAAAATGCATATTTAAACAGGACTGTAATGCAAAGAAATTATAGTTTGTATATGAACTCAGTGTATTTTGTAAGTCTGCAGAAGTTGATTAATTTAAGCCATTGTTACTAATTGGCAACAAGGAATAGAGACCGTGGAAAGTTAGGCCAATAGAGACAAGTTGGAACTGGGACGTGACAAATTAAAGACCAGTTGGAACTGGGACCATTGAAAACCAATTGGAATTGGGGCCAGTTGAAGGACCACTTGAATTGTCCAAAAATACACAACACCCACAATTTTTTTTTTTTTATAGAATACACAGATTTTCTATAGAAAATCGTTCAATTTATATACAATTTAATGTATTTTTTTTTTTATAAAATGTTTAGATTTCTATAGGGGTTTTAGTTTATAGATTTATAAATGGTTTTTATAAAATTGTTTATAGATTTTCTATAGTTTTTAAAGGGTTTTATAAATAAAATTATCATAGACTTTCTATAGAGAATAGAATTTTCATAGTTTTTAATACATTTTATAGAGTTTTAATAGTTTTTAATAGAGTTTTAATATATTTTTTATAGAGTTTATAGATCCCTATAAGATTTTTACAATATACCTATAGGATTTCTATAAGATTTTATTAATATACCTATAGGATTCTTATAAGATTCTAATAATAAACCAATAGGATTCCTATAAGATTTTATTAATACATCTATAGGATTCCTATAAGATTTTAATAATAAACCTATAGGATTCTTATAAGATTTTAATAATAAACCTATAGGATTCCTATAAGATTCTAATGATATACCAATAGGATTCCTATAAGATTCTAATAATATACCTATAGGATTCCTATAAGATTCTAACAATTTAACTAGAGGATTTTTATAAGATTTCAATAATATACCTATAGGATTCTTATAAGATTCTAATAATCAACCAATAGGATTCCTATAAGATTTTATTAATACATCTATAGGATTCCTATAAGATTTTAATAATAAAACTTCAGGATTCCTATAAGTGTCTAATAACATACCTATAGGATTACTATAAGATTTTAATAATAAACCTATAGCATTCCTATAAAATTTTAATAATAAACCTATAGAATTCCTATATTATTTTAATAATAAACCTATAGGATTCCTATAAGATTCTAATGATATACCAATTGGATTCCTATAAGATTCTAATAATAAACCTATAGGGTTCCTATAAGATTCTAATGATATACCAATAGGATTCCTATAAAGATTCTAATGATATACATACCAATAGAATTCCTATAAGATTCTAATAATATACCTATANATTCTAATAATATACCTATAGGATTTCTATAAGATTCTAATGATATACTAATAGGGTTCCTATAAGATTCTAATAACATACCTATAGGATTCCTATACGATTCTAATAATAAACCTATAATATTCCTATAAGATTTTAATAATAAACGTATAGGATTCCTAAAAGATTCTAATAATAAACCTACAGGATTACCATAGGATTATCATAATATACCTATAACACTCGTATAAGATTCAATTAATAAATCCATTGGATATATACGATTCTAATAGGATTTAAATAATAAAAACTATAGGATTTTTTTTGTTTAGGATTTCTGTAAGACTCTAATAATATTTCTATAAGATTCAAATAATAAGCCCATTGGATTTGTATAATATATGGTCGTTTGCTGTTTCAATACTGTATATATATATATATTTAACACTATGTTATTATTAGTATGTATATTATAATGTAGCCGATTACTACTGTTAAAGTACATATAAACCAAGAAATGATGATTCATATATATATATATATATATTGTATATATATATATTATATATATACTGTATATATATATACATGTATACTTAACACTATGTTATTATTAGTATGTATATTATATATTGATCCTTAACCTTTATGTATTTGCACATATAACAAGATTTTTGGTGTCCTATAGGATTTAGATAGTTTTCGAGGACTCGATATAGTTTTATAGAATAACATGCAAACCTTTAGAACACCTTTAAAATCCTATAGGATTCTGTAGGATTCCTATAGGACATTTTCGTAAGGGAGGAAGCAGCGAATATGACATTATAATATATGAGTTCATTTTATAATGAAATCAACTATATTAAATACTTTATACCTCAAAATAAAAAATGATTTAAGCTTGATAATCTTACATGCTCTTTCAATCGCCTAAAGTGATATTAAACGCTTTTGGAACGCATTGGAATCGATGTAGGCCTATACATAGATCCTATAAAATCTGTAATTCAATAAAATTTATACAGCTCAGTTTGATTGGACCCCACAAACGCGTGTCTAAAAACACGTTAGTAAAAAATAATCTGAAAGTTAATCCTTATTTACAAATGTTCAAAATCATAAAATCCAAATATCACTCACTGATTTTACTTATGCTCATAGTTTAGAGGTCAATACATTTGATGTAATTAAGTACAGTAATTTAGTTGACTTCCAAAAGCACGGAGAATTGATTTGCAAAATCATTTTTTTTAAATTTAAATGTACACTTTCAGCGGGGAGTTACGGTGTACCGAGAAAGAGCACTGTTTGTACACATGCGAAAATGTTTATAATTGTGAACGACAACTTAGCATAACTGGTAATCTGATGACCTCCATATTGAGATATCGAATACAAGGACACGAATCTGTGCTAATGCAATCACCAGCACCAGCTCTTTAAACCCATGTTTAATCTAAGCGGAATTTTTAAAAATAGGATGTAGGATGGCAACTTGATCAATACATATATTCCTATATGTAAGGTTGTGTTAATCATTTAACATCTTATTAAAAGTTAAATGAACTATTTTAATGTGATACTGTACTGTATTTTACACGATTCAAAACATGTCTTATATTTATGTATACAATTAAATGTTTCTTTAAATGCATCGCAGTCACAGCAGAAGCTGAGTGGCTTTGATTGTATTGGGCGTATTGTAGGCCTATGCAATGCATTCT